CATTTTTTTTATTTAAAATTTTTTTTTTTTTTTTTTTTTTTATATTTTATTTCAGTTAACATTTATTTATCTTAAGTAATATTTGTATGGTTTTATGGTTTTAATTTCAGTTAACTATAATAACACTGGTGTTATTTTGGTACATTATAATTGAATATATATGAATATAATTGAAATACTATTATAGTTTGCATTAATATTTTGAATTTATTTTAATTTTATATTTTCCACTCTCATTTTAACTATAGTTTTAGTAGTTTTAGCTCCTTTCTTTTGCCATTTTACTAGTCTTTTTAATGTGACTATGTAGAGTTTTTATTAATTTTAGTTATTTTCGTACATCTAGTTAAACTAAATGAAAATGAGAAATGCTGCCTTGGCAACTAGCTGAAATAAAATAAGTTACATTTTTTAATTGTTAATTTTATTGCAGTTGTTTTTTATGTTAGTAACCCTGGTTTGGACCACTATTAGGATGAGTAAATGATGAATTTTCATTCTTGGATGATCTATTTCCTCTTTATTAAGCATCCAGACTGTTTGTCTGAGCGGTTCTACTCTACTGCACATACATGCACCGATGTCCAGCCGAACATCTGCGTCCACCGGACTCGCCGCTGCTTTTTGCAGACTGTGCTGTTTCTCATTTTCTGCTTACTTTCTGTTTTCATGTGTAATCATTCAAGTGCACGTCTGAAAGAACAGCTGCCTGCTGAAGCTGCTGGTAAATGCCACTAAAATACCAGCCGGTCTGCGCACACCTGGCACCCGGCTGTAAGACAGAGCTCTGACATTAGCCCCTCTCTGTGAGTCACACACGCAGGACTCTGATCTTTAAGGAAGAAGTGCACAGTCTTATATAATATTATGCAGCGGGAATATATTTTTCGCTCTGGCATTTACTGTTTTCTGTGTCATGCATAATCTCACAAAGACAGAACTGGTAATGCACAGAGTCAACACGAAACCAATTGACGTCTTCCTGGTCTTATTGTGTATGATTCATCGGTGCATGTTATTATAAATAATGTAAATAATGTAATATTTTATCCTAGAGACACTCTTCACTACCTAATCAATTGCTAATATATAAAAGGTCATGCTTTATAGTTTTATGTCAAGTTGCGATAAAGATTACAAGTAAAAGGGATTATGAAAGTCTTTCATGTATGTAATAACCTTCATTGATACATTAACATTCTATATAATGCTTAATATTAGTACATTTAAACATATGCACACTAAGATTCAGAAGTCTCTTCTGCTCATCAAGGCTGCATTTATTTGATAAAAAATACAGTAAAAATGTTAAATATTATTATTATTTAAAACAGCTGTTTTCTATGTGAATATCTATTAAAATGTAATTTATTCCTGTGATCAAAGCTGAATTTTTTAGCATCATTACTCCAGTCTTCAGTGTCACATGATCTTCAGAAATCATTCTAATATGCTGATTTGCTGCTCAACAAACATTTCTGATTATTATCAATGTTGAAAACAGTTGTGCTGCACAATATTTTTGTGGAAACCGTGATGCATTTAATGTATCAGGATTCACAGATGAATAGAAAGTTCAAAAGGACAGCATTTATCTGAAAAATAAACATTTTTGTAACATTATAAATGTATTTACTGGCACTTTTGAGCAATTTAATACGTCCTTGGTGCATAAAAATATTATTTTCTTTAAAAAAAAATAATGACCCAAAACATCAATTTAATTTACAAATAAATATGAAACTACTCGAATGCACATTATGATCCAATTCAATAAAAAAAATTTCAGTGATGCATTAATGAAAGTTACTTACCATGAAGTGTAAAGAGCAATAACTGCTTTAAAGAGCAATAAAACACATTTCTGCCTTATTTAACTTGATAAACCCTAAAAAACGCAAAAATCTCTGGCAACAAATCAATAATGGTGTTTATTTAGTACTAACAGCGGCTGTATGAAAGGATGAGTAAAGCTGCGTCCCAAATGACGCACTATACACTATGCACTCATACACTATGTACCTATGCACTATGTACTCAATCATGTAGTGTATGAATTATATAAGGTTATTTTGTCATTCATAATTGGAGTCTCATAGCTCTTCCACCTTCGGTACGTAATTAAAGCTGCAACAGTTGAGTGCATGAAGTGTCCAACATTCCACACTTAATTTTTTCGGTTATTTAAGTGCATCATCCGGGTATTTAAAGTGCACTTTTTCTTTTTGGAATTTTCAGTGTGAACACACTACTCGCACTATTTATACTACAAAACGTCATAGAATAGTGCACAAGTACGCAATTTGAGATGCACCTTAAGACTGATTATTTCACAACACGGCTAACAGCCTGTGGCACGTGTTGATGTAGATTAGTGTCATCTGACATCTGCACATTTGCTGGCGTCTGACAGCTCTCTCATGGAGACGCAAGTCGGAGGAGTTGACCAGTCAGCACAGGCCACAGGCCAGCTAGCAGGAAGTGAGCTGCCACTTCCTGCCAAACACACACCGATAGAGACAGCTTCTGTGCTCGGTGTGAAGTCAAAGCTGTCATAAGGTCAGTGAAGCAAACTGAGACTCAAGTAAGACATCTTTACTGAGACAGTACAGGCAAAAACATTGCTTTGTCATGCACTGCTCAAGATTGAGATTTTGCTTCCAAAACAAGAATAAGAAAATAAAAAAATCATAAAAATAATTTTAAAAAGGCCTCTAACACTAGCTTGCTCTATTCTTTTTCTATTCTATCTGTTTTCTTTCTATTTATTGTATGTTTAAAAAAAACCTTGCCACATGTACTGCATTAAGCTAACTGAGACTTGTTATAGCACTTGCATATCATTGCTCTTTTGTTAGTTTTGACTGCTTTTATTGTCCTCATTTGTAAGTCGCTTTGGATAAAAGCGTCTGCTAAATGACTAAATGTAAAACATGCCTTCTTTCAGACTAGTGGAAAGAAAACATCCAAAATACACATTTAAGTGTTTATTTTAGTATAATTCAGTATAATTGCAAAAATAATATAGTTTTTATTAATATTTTGAATTAAATGATATGTTCTGTTATCATTTTAATACTAGTTAAAGTTTTAGTAATGTAGTTGTTTTTGGCCGTTTTTACTATTTTTTTCTATATAGTCTATATAGTTTCCATTAATTTTTATTTTAGTTATTTTAGTACATCAAGTTAAACTAAATGAAAATGAGAAATGTTGTCTTGGAAACTAGCTGAAACAAAAACAAGTTTCATTTTTTATATTTTATTTTATTTCAGTCAATATTTCTTTTATTTCAAATAACTTTTTTTTATGGTTTTAGTTTTAGTGAACTATAATAACCCTGGTTTGGACCACCATTCGGATGGGTAAATGATGAATTTTCATTTTTTCCTCTTTATTAAGTGTCCAGACTTTTAAGTGTTTATTTTATTGCACTTTATCTATTCGCGTCTGTAGATTTCGATTACAACACATATTTAAAAAGTTTTATCTCCACTTCATCAGCGCTTACATACACCAAAACTTACAGTTTTATTCCTCTCTATATTCTGAAGGTTTTTACTGAGGGGTTTGTTGATATATCATTCACTTCATTTTATACAACACTTTATTCCTAAAAACATAGCGAAAATGTATTTTCCCTGTCTGTTGACAGTATTCTGTGATTTATGGAGTGATAAAAATAGATATCCAAAATCCCCTCAGTAAAAACATTTAACATTAATATGTCAATAAAATCAAACAGGAAATCTAAACCTGGCTTTTTCCAATGTTCAGATTTATTCTCTGGAATGTTCGCCAATTAGTGCACATTTAATTAGATCAAGCCTCATTCGTGTGAACATAACATTTTAGAACCCTTTTAATACAAAACAACTGTCTTAATATTCTGTGATTAATCAACTGAGAAAGTATGTGATATCTATTAGTTTAAATATTCACCTGTAGTCTCTTGCCTCTCTCTTGTAACAAATCCTACTACTGCGACTGACCTCAATGCAAACAAGTTTTTACCATTCAGTGTGAACTAAAAATGTCATATTAAAGCTCACCAGCGCTCCACTGCTGAGGAGGATCATGAAGATGATGAAGGTCTCAAACCAGCTGTGCTCCACTATCTGATAACATGTCTTCCTCAGACGCCACCAGGCTCGACCCAGACCCTCGGACGTGTTGATATCACAGCACTTAAAGTGACGTACACAAACTGGAAAACAAAAACATTAAAGATTAATGATTAATAATTGGGTCAACGAAACAAAAATTGTTCCAAGATGATGAAAACATATTTTAAAATGTAATTTATTTTAAAATGTAATATTTTTATTTTAGATTCTTATAGTTTTGAAAAAATGTATACCATATTCAACAAAAGTTCTGATTGAATAACTCCAAAATCACTGGCTCCCTATGTCCTTCAAGTAAAAGTTATAAAATGCTAAATAAACAATATAACTAAATAAAAAAAATGTATATATAAAAAAAAAAAAAAAAAAAATGTATAATAATTTTAAAATGATATTTGAACATATTTGTTGGAACTGTTTCTGTTGCTCACACCGGTTTGAAAAACCCCAAAGTATCCCTGATTCACACAACAACTATAACTATAACAATAATAATAATGACAGGAATTATTACATCATAGAAATCCAGCTGACGAACGATAAAAACATTGATGGCCAATCAAAATTCATCTGACTTACATTTTTCATTTTTGGTGTCAATGTCTAAATATAACTATATCTAAATGGAAAAAAAAAAAAAAAAAAAATATAAAAAAAAAAAAAAAAAAAAAAAAAAAAATATATATATATATATATACACCAACCATACAAAGTAAAAATAAACACGTTCCACAAATATCATGAATTGTTTTAAATAATTTAGTGGGAGTGTCTACAGGGGACAATATTTCCTTTTGGTTGTTTTTTTGTTTTTGTTTTTGGTCACATCACTACACCACACTAAATATTACATTGTTAAAATTTCCACCTATTTTAAACTTAAATTTAAAAATAAACTTAAATACACTTAAATGTACTTAAAATTGTAAGTATTATCAACTTGGTTGTATTTTAAATAATTTCTACGTAAATTACATTAAACCAACTTTTAAAAAAATCAAGTTCAATTTCATATAACTTTTAAAAAATTGTTCAACTTATTTTGATGAGTTAAAGTAATTGCCATGACTTACAGATCATATAATTTTTTACAGTGTAGCATTTTAAAACAAAACTGCCCTTTTAAAAAAATAATAATAATAATATTGAATTAAAGAATATGCCAAGATGCATAATTTTTCAGAAATTAATAGATTATTCACATATTGATCAGAAGTAATTCAGACTATAAGTGAGACGACAACACTCATTTTGCTGGCTTTTCCACTTTCAAAACCTCTTTGTCCAAATCAACATTTGAAAACGCAACTTCAAGAGACTTCAAAGAGCTTCCAAACACTTCAAAAGATCACAAACGCAGCTCCAGCGAGAACGTGGAGATCAATAGCTGAACTGCTCTACTGCGTGTAATACAAATACATCAGTAGAAATAAATGATGCCGTCAGCGTTGGACTCATTAATGGAGCTGTTAAAGGTCCTCGTCTTGCTAATCTGTCGGTCTCTGCATTCCAGACGCAGCTTTTATGTGACATAATCCCGGCTGGTATCACTCTGAAAGCCCGCTGTCTGTAACAATGAGTCCCTGTCATGAAATCCCATTTGAGCCTTGCATGGTCGTCAAAGCCTCTCCATTACTGGCATCTGAGCTCTTCTAAATTAACTTATTGCCTGTAAACTTAATAACAGGGTTATGGTAACAGGGTTCTCTCAACTCAATTTGTACCGATGCTCCGGCTCTCCATTGGCGGCATCAGACATTTTAGCACCCGGGCATCACCATTCATCAAGCAATTAACAGCCATCAAAGCAAAATAAAAAGAGCTCAGAGTCTGGAGTTATTGATGACTTCATTGCTTCATAGATTTGATTTCTCAAAGAATATCCCGTGAACACAGACTCCACACACAGCAGTAGAGATAGTCGTGTTTACTAAGCGCGTCACTATTATTAGAGCTTATACTTAAGGTTAGAGATCTGAGTACCAAACTTTAGACTTAAAATGTGGCTTATAGAATTGATTAGTACATTACATTTAGAAAGAATTAGGTTACCCTAAAGGACATTATCTGAAAAGATCTGGCCCCATGTTTTCTGAGTTGTTGGTAGTTTATTGTTTTGAATTTCCCTGTTTCATTTTTTTTCTTTTTGTATAAGGTATTCTTAAATATTTAATTATTTTTAATTAAAAATATTTGTAAATTTACATTTATCATCATCATCATCATCATCATTATGTGTATATATAAAATTATGTAAATATTATACATTTTTTACATTTCAGATTGTTTTTATTTATTTATTTTTTAATTACCAATTTTAATTTAGTTTGGTATGACTTTTAGGATGTTTTTTCTTTTCATTCTTTTTAGTATCTGTAAGATTTGTTTTTACATAAATAATTTTAAACAATTGTAAATAAAAAAGATACTATTTTGTGAAATTCCAAATACAAATATTTAAACTTCAAATTCAAATAAGTAATTCAACTTTAAAGAATTAAAATATTTTCTGGAAAATAAACCATTGATAGAAACAAAAAAACAGCATCGTTGTTGATTTAAAAACAAACAAACAAACATAGATAAATTGTATCAGTGCAAGTCACATATTATTATTACATTCAGAAATAGTGTCAAATACTAGTACAACAAAATAAAAAGTTTATAAACATTATAAACACAAAAAAATTTTATTTCAGTTTCCTCTCACTTCACAGCAAATCCTTTCAATTTAACAGTATTCAGAACAGAAGAGGAATGAAAAACATAAGTATAAAACAAAAATAAATGATAGTGGCATTCATTGTAAACAATATTATATTTATTACACTTATTGTTTTTTTAAAGTGGAATGTAGAAAATGCATTATACAAATAAACTTGGGCTCACATACTTCTCTCATTCACCACAAATCCAACATGTTTTTGACATTAATTGCATGATATAAATCACTTTAGAATATGTCACAGCATGTTTCAGATGATTAAAAAACAAAACAAAACAAAAACCTTATATTCCGAAAAATATGGTACATTAAATCATCAACGCATCATGCATTGATTTCTCCTTTCAGTAGTAGTGCTTATTGCATTGCACTAGTTCAAGCAAAGTTTTTAGGCAAAAAAGCATCTGAAAGCCTCTTTCTCCTTTGTGCATTTCCCTTCAGAATGTGTGAACCTGCCCTTTTGACTTCTCCAGCAGAGAGCTGTTGACTGATTCAATTCAGTCATGCGAAAGTGTGCTATTATTCGATTTATAGGTGAGAAACCTGATCTCGTCTCAAATGCCGCTGAAATGCTGAAATGCACGAGCGAGAATTATCAGAGGAAATACATGGCAGCTCATTTGCCATAAATCATTCACTCCTTCAAACAGACAGCCGTTCAACGGGCCGCCCAGCGCAGCGATCTGATTGTTTTCTACCGTACGGCAATGAAGTCGACAGCTTATAAAGTGCAGATTTGAGGCACACGGAGCTGGTTGTGTAACGTTTTCGACACACACACACACACACACACACACACACACACACACACAGGCGCACACACGCACACACACATGCACGCACACACACGGACACGTGTACTGTATGACAGATGTTGGTCGTTTCTCAGAACGAACTTACTTAGAGCAATTACACAGAACATAAAGTCTCCCTTGAGCAGCAGCACACTTTAGCATACTTTTATAAAGAGCACTCATAATGGAAATAAGAGCATATTTAAATGTGAACTGAACTGTTATTTGCAATTCCATGAAAATTCATTACAGTTTAAATTTATACTAAAATACAACTTTAGAATTTTTTTGACCCACTTAAGTACATTTCATATGTATTTTCATAATTTTGTCTATGAAATACGGTTAAAGTTTAATCGTTAAAATATACTATAAATCATGCAAGAACATGCTAAATCATTCTAACAGCATGCTACAAGATACTATCAACATGGTAAATCAATCGTGCTAAAAATATGCAAAGTGCTAAAAAATTGCCAATACCTGCTAGCAATGTGCTAAACATAGCAATGTATTAAACAACGCTAGAAACATGTTAGCAACATAACCAAGCAATGTGCTGAAACATATAGAAACATGCTAACAATTGTCATCAAACTTGACTCATCTGAGTTTAAATTTAATATTAAATACAACTTAATGTTTTCGACCCACTTAAGTACATTTTATATGTATTGTAATAATTCATAATGTTTTTCTATGAAATTGTTAAAGTATAAATAGTTAAAATACACTAAATCATGCTTACTAAATTCTAATAGCTAAACTCTGATCTCGAGCCAAAGTGCTTCCCATTGATGTCCGAACGCAGCAGACGTCTCACATGCACCCTGCGCTCAGAGCAGCGTTTTTAACATGTTGAGATGCATCTTATTGGGCCGGCGGTCGATGCATTAAATATGGAGAGTCAGTCATCATCAAATTAACACAGGACCATTTCGTCTCTGACGGGCCTTTTCAAATCTTTGCTGACACAGGATATTCAATTTAATGCCCCATTGCCCTTTTAAATGTCAGTTCACTGGTTAATGTTTTATATCAAATCACCTGCACCTCAGAACGAGGGTAAACAGGAGGATCGTGACCGAAACACGTGACTCTGACGTCTGAGACTCTCCTGCAGATGTCTCGTACTTCTCCATGCATTTTCTCCATAAGGATTAAAAAAAATTATAATAATAAAGAAATCTGATCCATGAACCAAATCAACCAGGTCTGAAATTAATTATAACGTTAGAACTATTCAAAGCAGAAACATACTTGAAAATCCGGAAAAAGACACAGGTGCAAGAAAATAATTTTTTTATATATTGCTGTATTTCCTAAAAATAATTACAGTTTTTGTTTTAATTCAATACAAATTAAATTTTGTAAAGTGTTTAACATAATTAAAAAATATTTGCATTTTTGATAAACATGCAAAATATATATAAACATAAAAAATTAACAACAAACAATTAACATGTTTTGTAATTAAATAGTTTAATTCAGCATAAATTAAAATGTAAAGTATTTATAAAATGAATATATATATATATAGAGAGAGAGAGAGAGAGAGAGAGAGAGAGAGATTTGCATTCATTTAATGTGAATTAGGGTGATAATGGACTAATTTATAATGCAAATAATGTAAACATGTATTTATCATAATGAATAAATATTTACCATTTCTTGTGAATTTGGAGGACAATGTATTCATTGATAACGAAAATAGTGTAAACATGCAAAATACATATAAACATAAAAATTAATCATATAAACAGAAAATTAAGATTTGTTTTATAATGAAATGTTTTCATTTTAATTTATAATTTTAATTACATTTTTTATTTTTATTTTGTTTACATTTTTTGCATTAATGTAATGTGAATTTGGGGGATAATGTGTTAACTGATCATGAAAATAATGTAAACATGAAAAACAAAAATTAACAGAAAATTAAGATTTTTTGTAATTAAATTTCATTGCTGACCTCGTTGGCTGAATTTAGCTCCACGTTAAGATGGAAAATTAATGCAATTTTTACGTCTGTAACTCAACTTTTGTGCTTTTTACATGGTTAGTGCTGTTTGATTTTGGAATGAATCAATATTATTGATCATCAGAGTAAACACTGCAGCTGTAAGTTGAATATGTTGCTTTACGCACAGTCAGGAAGGCAGTTTTCTGGATCCATGGCCTCTTCAGCCGTCTCAGAGTATTCATCCTCTTCCTCGCCGGGTTTCCTGAGGTCAATCGTGCTGCCCTCTGATAGGCTGGTGTCATCACTCTGAAAACCAAGAGAACCAATCAGATCCCCTGACCAATGAATTTACACATTTGTCACATTTGTTACACATTTGTCATTTCCAATTCCTAGAGATTTAAAAAAAAAAAAAAAAAACACATTTACAAATGAATCAATCAGACTGATGATTGGCTTGACTTTTTAATTTCTGAATATATATATATATATGTGTGTGTGTGCATGTGTGTGTGTGTGTGTGTGTGTGCACGCATGTGTGTGTGTGTGTGTGTGTGTGTATGTATGTGTGTGTGTGTGTGTGTGTGTGCGTGTGTGCGTGTGTGTGTGTGTGTGTGTGTGTATGTATGTGTGTGTGTGTGTGTGTGTGTGCGTGTGTGCGTGTGTGTGTGTGTGTGTGTGTGTATGTATGTGTGTGTGTGTGTGTGTGTGTGCGTGTGTGCGTGTGTGTGTGTGTGTGTGTGTGTATGTATGTGTGTGTGTGTGTGTGTGTGTGCGTGTGTGCGTGTGTGTGTGTGTGTGTGTGTGTATGTATGTGTGTGTGTGTGTGTGTGTGTGCGTGTGTGCGTGTGTGTGTGTGTGTGTGTGTGTATGTATGTGTGTGTGTGTATGTATGTGTGTGCGCGTGTTCGTGTGTGTGTGTGTGTGTGTGTGTAATTCCAGTCGGTTCAACGCGGCGGTGATTTATTCTGGTATTCAGAGGTTAGCGTGTCTCCAGGTGCGACTTTCGTTTCCTTGTCAAACTGTGACAAACTCAGTCCATCAGCGCTGAAGTGTGTGTGTGAGTGAGTGAGCGTGTGTGTGTGTGCGTGTGTGTGAGATCGCTCATGTGGGTGTCCAGTGAAATTTAACACCAGACCGGCCCACGGCTTCCACAGGACGATAAAAAGACCACACAATGATTGCATGCTTCACTGCTGCTCTATTGTTCCACACAAGAGAAACAACTGAGAGAATATGAGATGCAGGGAACAAACATTTAAACACCTGTGAAAGTAAAACTAGCATTTTGTGGCTTGTAGTTCATCTCTATTAGACTGTGATGCTTATATTTGATTCTAAACACTGACAAAGAATATGCATTTAAAATGTCTTTCAAAGAAAATGAATCAAAGATATTGATTGAGCACACCCAAGGTCACAATTTAAGATGAAATAAAATAAAATAAATATTACCAAATAAGTAAATAAATAAATATTAGTATAAAATAAAATAAAAATAGCAAATAAATATTACTAAGTGTATAAAATAAATACATGTATATTGCATGTTTAAATTATTTTCATGATAATTAAACATATTTTCCCACCAAATTCATACTACTTTAAATGTAAAATATTTGTTTTGACGCTTAGAATACATAAATATTAATTATGATAAATACTTTACATATTTTATTTTATGCTGAATCAAATTAAAAAGGGCTGTCAAATGTTTAACTATAACCATAAAAATCTACATTTTTTGTTGTTAATTTGTTAACTTTTTTTTTTACAATACAGTAATTTAGATTTAATATTTTTTAGTTGTAAAATGTGTGCTTGATTGTCATGCAAACAATTTAATTGTCAAAAAAATAATAATTGTCATAAAAATAGGCTTCATATTTTTTGTGCAAAATAAAATGCAATGTTTTATCTTGATTTTGCTATCTTTATAAATACTTTACACATTTTAATTTCTTCTGAATTAAATAAAAAATGCTTAAAATATGAAATTACAATTTTTTTATTTTTTGTTTATTGTGAAAAATGTGCTTAATTGTCATGAAAATAATTTTACAATGCAACAAAAAATTAACGGTCATTAAAAAGGCTTAATTTCCTTTGTGCCAAATAAAATATCAATGCAAACTTTTTATCTTGATTTTCAAGGTGAAATATGACCTGTTTTTTTCTCTACAATCTATGTAGGCTTGCAATCTTTTGGGAATCGCAGCTCTGGGAATTTCAAGGATTTTCTTTTTTTTTAAGTAAAAAAAAGAAGAAGACAAAAGCAGATATGTGATATTGGCCCGTTCGTATCAGTGTAATCCAATTTAGCTTCCATTCTCTCTTAACATCAGATTTTAACATCCATCCAGCAATCCTTAAACACACAGACTTATCAGCATTTCCTAAATCACGCAGCTGTCATTCAGTCGTCTTCTGACAATAAACCCAACCTTTACTCCAATTAGTGATGCTTCAGGGCTGGTTTTCACTGCTATTGTATGATCTGATGAGACTGAAGTGAAATATGATCCAGTTTTTCTGAGCACTCAATCACTTAAAATCGCTGCGTTTTGTCAGTGTCAGAAAGCGTGACGCCCATTAGCGTGCAGCTTTGTTCATCTTGCACACAAACTCAAGTTTGCATGTGGTTCTCGCGGCACATGAGGAATCCCAGCGCTGCAAACCGGCCACAAAAGCCCTATAAATAACCTCCCGCAGGCCTGCGAGAGCCTGGATGTGGCATTCGGCGCTGGAATCTAATGAAATCAGAGCCGTTTGAGTGCCATCAGCGGAGCGGCCGTCTAATCACGCTGATTCGAGACTGAAGCGAACGAGTGTCAATAAAAACCAAATCCAAACACTTCACTTCCACCTGCTGAGAGCTGATGTCCGTCAGTCACACAAAAACACATCAATAACACAATCTAATCACATGATGCCATTGGAGCCAGGATGTAGGACACATCCATACCGAGTTATTACCCGTTTACCAGACAAACCTGAGATCCGATCTGTCTGACTGACTGTTGTCTGTCTGTCTGGGCCATTCTGATGAACACAAGATGAAAACATTGTCATGCAGTTTCTATTAGAGTTGCATGGTTTGGGGAAAAAAAATCTAATTGCACTTTTTATGCTAAAAGCTGAGAATGCGACTTAAAGTGCATTTTTTTTTAAATCGGGTTTGTTGTTTGTAGGGCTGCACAATTTGGCAAAACTTTTGCTATTATACTGTATACCAATATGGCCATAAAATACTACTACTACTACTACTATTAATAATAATAATCTGCACAATTTGGGGAAAAATACAAATTTAGATTTTTCTGAAAAAATTGAGACTGCAATTTTAAATGAGATTTTAAAAAATCAGGTTTGTTGTTTTATTTATCGTGCAGCCCTAGCTTCTCTGATGCAATATGCAGGTGATGTAATCATATAAATGTCTAAATCATCACAATGTCCAAAGCGAGAATGGCACAAGTAGAGCAATGTACAAGCGAGTAGAAAAACAAACGCATCTAATTCTGGCAAATTATGGGTCATCAGAGTTTGAACTATGAGGCGTTTCTCAGAACGAGCTCAAGTCTTCTCTAAGGAATCACCAGGACAGATACACAGAGATGCACCGAGACACGCAGAGACATACAGAGACACACACTAACACAGAGAGACACACAGAGACAGAGACACACCAAGACACTCAGAGACACACAAAGACACACTGAGAGAGACAGAGACACACCAAGACACTGAGAGACACACTGAGAGAGACAGAGACACACCAAGACACTGAGAGAGACAGAGACATACCAAGACACTCAGAGACACACAGAGACACACTGAGACACACTGAGAGAGATAGAGACATACCAAGACACTCAGAGACACACAGAGACACAGAGACACACTGAGACACACAGAGACATTCAGAGACACACTGAGAGAGACAGAGACACACCAAGAGACTCAGAGACACACTGAGAGAGACAGAGACATTCCAAGACACTCAGAGACACACAGAGACACACTAAGAGAGACAGAGACATACCAAGACACTCAGAGACACACTAAGAGAGACAGAGACACACCAAGACATGCAGAGACACTCAGAGACACACTGAGAGAGACCGAGACACACTGAGACACACACATAGACACATTGAGACACACAGAGATACACAGAGACACACATAGACACACTGAGAGAGACAGAGACACACCAAGACACTCAGACACACACAGAGACACACTCAGAGAGACAGAGACACTCAGAGACACACAGAGACACCCTCAGAGAGACAGAGACACACAGACACTCTGAGACACGCAGAGACAGACAGAGACACTCAGAGACACTCAGAGACACACAGAGATGGACAGAGAGAAGACATGGAGATGGATGGATGGACAGCAGCAAACAGGAAACTGAGGCCAAACTCCTACACATTTCCATATGGTTTCTGGGCTTCAGGCTGAATTTTTGAGGAACACAAGCTCTAATTAGGCTTTGACCTTATGTTTGAGGTGAAACTGTGAAACGTGTCATACTAAATCACGCTGTTCAGAATGTGTGTTGAAGAACAAAAACTGGACATCAAGGGATTGTTAGAAATATTGATATATTATAAAATAAATAATTAAATGTATATTAATATTACTATATCTATAAATAAATAAATAAATAAGTGTATTTTATAATTATATCACACTTGTAATAGACAATGATATTATTAAACTTGCATAATTAAAGTAATGTTCCAGGTTTATAACAAATCAAGGTCCACCAGCAGCATTTGTGCCACATCCTGTTCTCTGTGATGGTTAGCATTATGGCAGAAGCTTGAAGCTGTGAGGTTTCTTCAGGTGAATGTGGAGCGCTCAGGTTTGATGTGATGTGTGTGATGGTGAGGTTGGGTCATGTGTGTCTGCTTGTGTTTGTCTGTCTGCTGTGTTCAGTGATTCAGGTGTGATCCTGTCGACTCGGAGCCCAGCGGCGACACTCTGACATTACAGCGCTGCAAAAACCAGCCGCACGAACACACAACAAACACGAAACCACACATCACACGCCCCTCAAACAAATCCCTTAAAGACAACAACACACAAATCAGTCAGTAAGAGGAAATGCAAATTTAATTTAAATAATGGCACGATAAATAAAGAAATAAATACGTGCACACAAATACTAGTATTACTGGTAGTATGTCTATCTATCAATCAGTCAATAATTCAATCAATCAATCAATCAATCAATCAATCAATCAATATCTATCTATCTATCTATCTATCTATCTATCTATAAATGCA